GGTTGCGATTGGATTCAATGTACTCAATGCAAAATAGAAATTTGTGTAAGACAAATCTTTATTTAAAAAAAGAAGATCTTTTTTTATCATTTTATTTAGTGGCCAACACAAGGTCCTCGTTGGGGTCCGAAGGGACGTGGTGATACATCTGGAGGTTGTCGATGTCGTGTGGACAATGGGAAACTTTGTGTACCAAATTGTCAAAATTGTCATTAATCAATTGTTTTTCATCTAGTGAACTGATTTATAGCTAATTTTTTCTATGGATGTATTCAAATAAAATTATTTCAAAAATTCATAGTCTACAAATCTAAACAGACGATTTTAAAAAAACTAGACTGTGAATGTAGGTATGGGTATAAGTAATTATCAAACACACATTCACATCCACACCGACTTTATATATAAAGTATTAAATATCTTTGACTATGGCTGAGTTGAACAAAAGTTTAGTTTTTTATAGACTCACTTTATTTATTCATTAAATACCTATTCAATTTTTTTCTCTTACGAAATCATATTGTTCTTTTCACACAAAAGAATTAATAAATGCGGATATATATATCTGTTGTAGTTAGATAATGGATATTACACAGTGAACTTTCCAAGATAAATAATTTTTAAGTAGACAAACGAAGTCATAGAAAAAAGAACATTTTCTTTCTCGAGGAAATTCTCTTTACTTTTATTATTTAATGTCGAATTCAAGCGAAGATTTATCTGATTCACAATTTAATGTGGTGATTCCTTCTATTACTCTATCTCGGACTTTTTTATTTTCCAATCTTATATCGATTTTATGCTACCTTTTTACTTTGTATTATCTTCTATTTAATCGAAATCTTCGCCGAGCTTTATATAATCATGTTATTATTATTCTTCTATTAATAAATTTGATTTATGAATTAACAGATATTTCATTTATTCTTCATTATTATCGAGTTGATCGTACTTGGCAAGTCAATCTTACATTTGCTCTTTTTTGGGTTTTATACAACACAGTTGTTACTATTTTCTTGGGCAATAATAGAAAGACATATTCTTATATTTCATTATCGTTATTATAATATTGTTATATTTTATCCATCTTGTAAAAATTTCAATTATCAATTAACGATTAATGGTGTATTCGTACCTTGTATATATTTTGATCCAATATTTTCAAAATTAGATATTATATTTCATCAATTCATTCCAACATTAAATATTGTTATTTTTAGTATAGGACTTCTCTTACGTGTTCTATGGCAAAAAAACTCGTTTAAATCGCTCTATTCAATGGCGACAACAACGAAAATTAGCTCTTGAAATTTTATCAATTGCAATAGTTTATCTATTTTTTCAAATGCCACGGGTATTCCTACAATTTTGTTATGTATTTGGATTATCCATAGATACAGAAAGAATAGTAATATCATATGCGTATTTATTTAGTTATTATACTACGTTTACTTTTCCATTTATTTATTGTGGATCAATACCAACACTTAAAACTAAAATTCGTAGAATGTTTTGCATGCTAAGACGACAGCGAGTTATTATGCCAATAATAAATTAATTAAACTAATGTAATAGTTGTTTATTGGAAGAATGGTCGATCCTTCGAGAAACAATCTTCCTTACATTTGAAGCGTTATTATGAACTATATGACTAAATTAAGAGCTTCCTTAACTGATGTTGTGTTATCGATCGCATGACGCGATATTTCAGATATTCAAAGTATTCTATCAGTAATTTGATTTAGAGAACAAATAGAAATTGAGTAAAACACGAGATATTGTCTTTGCACTTAATCGACAGAAAAAAATATTTCAATTATTATTATAATAAAATATACATAAAAAATAAAAACGCCTACCATTCTATTTCTTATTTTTAATCAATCAATATAAAGTTATAGTTATGTATTTGAATTCATCATATGATCATTGAAGAATACAAAAAAAAAAAGAAAATCAAATAGATGAAGCCATTATTATTCTATTAAATTAAAATTCATCAACTGCACCTCATTCTATTTAATTCTTTTCTTTATACAACACAGTATATCGAAACATGTAAGAAAATCTTTGTTTTTTTTTTGTCACGCATTTATTCTTATTAATATATTTAGGACTGTTGTACCAACTCGTGTTCAAACTCAACAACCTCAACAAGCTTATTTACGTCCAATAAATAATAGTTTTGCTTTATTACCAAGTGAAAAAGTCTATCGTGAATGGGAATATAAAGATAATCTATGTTGTTGTAATAATGGATATTATACAGTTCTTACAGATATTCGACTTCTTACACGATATCAAGAATATATGTGTTGTGGAGGATGTTCTGATCCTGCACATACAGATTCAGCTATTTTTTTACATAATATTGATCAAATGCGTGAATGTCGTGGTGAACAACCAACATTTTTCTTTCTTCTTTGGATGACATTGATATGTGCATGGCCTTGTTATGTTGTACGTCGTATATTTTGTCCAAAACCAAAATGTCTGGAAGTTTTTGGTTCGTTTGGTTCTGAAATGATACGATTTGATAAAGACGATATGCCAATAGCTCAAGTTGATATTTCAACAGCAATTATTAATACAAAATTAGTTGGACGATCTTAATAAAAAAAAAAAAGAAATTCAAAACTTTCATTTTTATTTTACTTTAATATGATATAAAAATAAACTCTAAGATTTTTATTATACAATATGTATTGAAAAATAGCGAGGAAAAAAACTTTGATACTATACATGATAAGTTTCAAAATAAAATCTCAAAATATTTTTTCTAAGTTAATAATATAGTCGTGCGTAAAATATCAGTAAAATATTATTTGTATACCGATAAAATATTTTAATATCCCATGAGAAAAGGACAAACTAAAAAAAAGATTCTTCAAATTCGATAACGATTTATAATAATGTTGTTGAAAATTTTATTGCTGTTTGATTAGATTCCAATATTATTTTATTGAATAAATATATTACACACCTTCAAAGTAGTATTAATTCAATAAAAAATTTTATTGCATTATGAATAAATGTATCGTTTCTGAGTTTTTTTTGATGAACAGATCATATCTATTCTAGAGAATTTCTTTTATCTTTATTCTTTTTATGTATTTCAAATGTTCAGACAGGTTTTTATTATTTAATAGTTTTCTATCGATAATATTTGAATGCGATACAGTATTAAAGAAATGATGAATCATATACAATCGATGCAAAGTGTTGCAACTACATCATTGGCAAAGATGACTCATAATCTTCTAGAACAATAAGAAAATTCTAGTGTTTTAATCATGATAAATCGTTGACCTTTTATCTCATAAAGTTTTCATAAGTACAAAATGTTTACCTGAATGAGTCATTGTGTATGAGTAAGATAGCATTTCAATGTAGAAATTGTTTGCCACGTCGACAAAAGTTTTTGATTGGCTAAGAAGAGAATTAGTAATAGTATTTCACCTGTATTGCGTAAGTTACAAAGATTACTCATTTCTTCAGTATATAAAGGGATGTTTTTTCTGCTATTTTCTATTCATATTATTCTTTATACAAAGCAAACATGTCTACAAACGAACAACAACAACAAAATACTGAACAATTAACCATGCTCAAGGAACGTTTTCCACATATCAACGAAAACAAATTAACTCGTGTCTTACAACGACATGGTGGAGATTTTGATAAGGTATAGTTCTTTTTTATTTTAAAATATAAATTATATTGCCCGCTAATGCCTCTCATGCGGGGGAATGGAGGTTGTTTGATATTCATATATCAACGTAAAAAAAACTAAATTAAAAATTATATTTTAGCATAATATATTTCGTATATATATATATATTTCTTAATCAGGTTTGTGCACGTCTTAGTCAA